TCTTTCTTCTCTTTTAAGCCGTACTGTTGTGAGAAGTATTTTCTGTATTACATGAAAAGGCATATTGTTTACATATGAAAAGAAATGTTATGAGTGAATACGTTATATTAAAAAAAAAAACGAAAGAAAAATGTTGCATTTTTTATATTGTATTTTGTTATCTGTTATGTTGAAGCATCTTTATCATCTTATTTTATAAAAACTGAAAGATTTCATTTTGAAAATTAAAATATTTTACTATTTTCAAATTGAAAAAGAATTTTCCTTCAAAAAAAAAAAGGAATTTTTGAATTTTTTCCTGTATTCTTTCGCCCTCTTCCCAAATCTTTGCATTTATCTGATTTGCCGGTTTTAACTTACTATTTCCTGTTTTTCGTGATTTTCTGCAGTACCCTTGAAATTTGCGTACTCAGGAATTGTTAATTATATACATAATTTCTTTTTTTTTTCTTTTCTACAGATTTTACAGATCTCACGCTATGAATGCTCATTTGGTTGCTAAATGTAATGTTTTGAGGACTTAACAAATTTTTAAAAAATTTCTTAAGTGAGATTTTTAGAAAGATGCAATAAATAGAGAATGAAAAGGGAAGAAAGCATTTCTTATTTGAGAAATTACATAATGCTTTAATGACATTTCCATTTTCTTCGTTATATGTATCAGTCCTCAAAATTGCAATGCAATCAATGAACATGCCTGTATTTTGTGCAGGTGCAATTTCGCTGTCATATGTTTCAACTTTGCTCGGATATTTGTATATTGGCAAATAAAAAAGCTGCTATGGTATGATGATGCCATCAATTCACTAATCGGTAGAGAGAAATATTTAACTTAACGGTAAGGCCATACTATCCAGTACAAACCGTCAAAGACAAACGTGTTCGTCTATAACTCGTATATAACTCCTTAGAAATACAAATTACTACCATTATTATATCCTTATGATGTATATCGAGAGTAACAGTCAAGATTTTACAATACACAATTTATCTCTTGTCAGATTTACAAGGAATAATAATTTACAAGGACAATATATTACAGCCTTGTTCACCGATTGAATTTTAGGACCTCTCTATGAATGAGTTTCTGAATGAAATCCATAAATAACCTGATTACGGCAGGATAAGAAAGGAAGAAATTATTTCTTGTGTAAGTATGCAGTAATATCGCGTCACACCAAAAAAGTAAAGAAAATATAAGTTGACCAAGGTCAACGGTTTCAAAAAAAAATTGTTTTTTCCTGGGTTCAAATAAACATATTGATACACCGGTTTCAACAAAAAACCGCGGCAAAAAAATAAAGGAAAAATACAATATAATTTTTTCGAAACGTTTCATGGAATATTTATAAAAAAAAGAAAGAAATTATTAACACCATTTTATAATCATCACAATATCATCATTAAAGCTGAATCGCGATTAAGAGAAGTTCAAAAGAACTACGGAAAAGTTGACTCAGTGGTGATTAGAATGAAGTGATGCAGAAGCGAAGATTTGAGTCAAAATTTAAAATCATGTTTAAAATAGAGCAAAAATACTAGACACAAATAAGCAGCTACCCGATAAGTCATTCGACTATATTGACAAGACAAGGAAAGTACAATGGTGATATCTGAATACTACCCATTATTTTTCTCACATGAATAATTATAATATAACTCATTATCTCAAAAGAAAAAAATACAGTAAGGACAAGCAAAATGAACAGATTAAGGCAACAAAGACGTAGCAATCTTTGCAACAAGAAATGAGACAAAATTTTCCATGGAAAAAAGGAAATTTCTTTTTAGACTCCAACCAACCTGAGTGTTACGAGTGCATGCAAAAGGAAGAGGACCCTTCGTCATGGATTATATAATGGATAAAATTTTGGCTACGCCATTGCTGTGGTATAACCCACTCATTGCACTGCTAATATCAATCAGATTTGAGAGAACAAATAATTCTTAATCAACAAGTGTTAAGAGAATGTGCAGAAATATTGTAAAACGATGAATTCAAGTTTAATTGAATCGATACTCTCGAAAATACACACTAAGCATGTTAATGCCGAGCAAAAGTACATAGAAAGGTTCGATAGCCTGAAATAACCAAAATATTTGTATCTTGAAAAAAAGTTCAAAACATTGACCTGATAATTAATAATAATTAAATAAATTATGCAGATCGTTCAGTATCAAAATAATGAAGCGACAACGATCGCATGTCAAAATGAATTAGTATCAAAAAGACTCTCTAGATCAATTACGCTTAATAATAACATTGAACGGTTAAAATACTGGTTATAAAAATATTTATTTTTAATTACGTTATTTCTCAAATACCAAAACACACCTATTAAAAGGTTTGAAAGTGCTGCAGTGACCTATCCTATGAAGTATCAACTGATGTCGCCCATGAATCCAGATAACGTTCAAAATCTGTGATTGGTTGCATATCTTCGGGACGATGGCCAACTTCCCTCCACGAACGAAGTGAACGAGTGCATAGCAGACGTTGATTTTCAAATCGCCTTTGACGAGCAACACGGTATTTTCTCCAATAATCATTTATATGTATTTGAAATTGGTGCCATACTGATTTCCAATAAATATATTAAGCAAAAACACTTTAACGAATATAACTTGAAGGATTCTTTTATACTTTAAATAAATTTATGAATCCTTTTTGCATATGAAGTTTCAGCATATAAATTATATATACTAAGAAAACAAAAGTCACCTTAGTATGCTTACTGCTGCAGCGAAAAATGAGCTAATACCACTCACTGCAATGAGCACTGATCCTGCACCTACTGTCACACCGGAAAATGGATACACCGAATAAATCACTGCTCCCACAATAAGAGTTATAATACACGCTAACACTGCCAGTACCACTGAAATTTTAGAATTTTTTTTCAAAATTTTTGAAGCATGTATTCAAAGACTTCTATGAAATATAAGAATAGCTTACTACTACTCATTTCTAGGATTGTATTCCGCTTGAGCCAATTAAGAAATCCTGATGATGTTGAAATTATGTTCAAAATACAGGCCAAGGTGGATTTTACGACAATAACGAAGCAGAAAGCGATCAAAACATAGAATAAATTGGCGACCAAAGGCGTGATACAATCGACGAGCACTGCAAAGTAATATTTTAAAAAAGTTAGTAAAACCTATTATGACACCATCACTCCATATACTTACAACAAACATGTTACTTATCAAGATATGTATGTAAACTTATCAAGATATGTATAAAACCTATTATACATTTTTCCATATGACAGGTACTGCGATGCTGTGATTAGAATAAATTTTAAAATACTGGATAAAGAATTGAATAACCTTTTCCATCAAAGTGGTAAGTTGTATGATAAACGCCTTTCACATCAACGAAAGATCCGAATTTGGCGGTACGCCAGAAATGTCGAACACCAACTCTACAAACTCATACAGTTATGAAATATGATAACAAACCTAGATTTTTTGCATATATTCCTAGTTCTCTGACTGCTGAATTTTAGAAACTAAAAAGTATTACGGACTTTCCCGATATTTCTGCACTAAATCCATAAAATAAATGCAGAAGAAATTAAAAAAGATCTGAAGATTACACACATACTTTTTACTTCCTTTTTTAGAATTATTCTGTTATGCTTCATCAATTTACAATCTAGAAAGTTTTAGCCAACCTGATTCGCTAAATTTACCGCTTCATCCCACTCTCTGTTTTTTCTTTTTCATCCAGCTTAAGCTCATATACAATATAATATCAGGATTTTGCCCTCCTGCACCTTCTTTCACTAGCCAAACAAATGGTTCCTATTCCCTTATACTTAACTCTCAAAAAGCTTTGGAAAGAATATGGCATGAAACAAGGGAAGTAAATCATCAGCGACCCACAAGAATTGATTCTTCATTAAAAAATACGAAACGATCTTTTCCAGAAATCCTGGTGTTGTTGCAGGTCACGACATTCCGGAAACCTCAACAACAGAAAATGGAGGATAAACTAAACCCCTTGCAGCGATCTGCTTGTACGAACGGTGAAAAATAATTGTAGTAGTTATCGCTGCGAACAGAGCTGTTGTCATCAAGTTCAGCTGCATTTTCGCTCTCTTTACTATTACCATCAATGCGAATCCACTCATCATTAACTAAAGCACAGATCGCCTAAAATACCAACTGATCATTCCAAAAAGGAACCATAAATTTTGGGAATGAAATGATTCATGAAAAATGATTTACCGAGAAGTTTCGTTTCTCTATATATCAGCAATAGTTTCAAATGATGAAGTCATATAAGACTGTCAAATAAAAAAAAAAG